GCGCTAGCGTAGTACACTGATGACCACATTGTAGTTCAAATAAACAAGGAGGAATGAAAAGAGCTTTTTAATTGGCGAAGTAGGCCAACCAACGCATATATATAAGAAAATGTACATGCTGTGTAGCACGCAGTGGACATCGACGGTCGAAGTATCGTGTACCATTGCCATTTTGCGACACTTGTCTTTCCATCTCGGAGGGGAATTTCTAAGATTAAGTTAAACGACCTCCGGGGTCACAGATGTGACAGTTAGCGCATTCTGCCTTTAAAGCGACTTTTTTGGTTGACCGGTTCGTTAACGGACCTGGCCACACAACTATGGCCATGGCCTTCTGCCTAAAATATTCTAATATATTATTTGACGAAGCTGGGCAAGCATTTTGAGGATGTTTCAGAGCTTTTCGGATTCCAAGCTTGTTTGAGTGCTGTCATAACACTAGTCACTTTAAAACGTAATTTATATAGGATGACGTGGGTGGAAGAGTCGACTGCGAATCTCTTCAGTTGTCTGTGGATTGCATCAATTTACTTGTATTGCCTGTAGATTGTGGAAAAATTGGATTTACTGGACAAGGAGTTGGCATGGATCATTGTAGAGTACTTAATGATGCATTACCTGCTTGCAGTCCACGAATTTTCTCGAGCACTGACGATGGTGATCAAAATAGGAATAGCTATTGAGTAGTGCTTTTAGTTCAGTCAGAAGGACATTACCGACAAAGACCAGGGAGACTCATTGGCCATTTCTGGCTTATTAGCCGTTGTCAGCTAGTTATACCCAACTCAATTGATGCCCCGGAAATAGGTTCCTCGCTCCAGTTTCGAACCCGCAACCTTTTTAATTAGAAACGCAACGCTCTAACCACTGCGTCACGGACTGCAAAACCTTTTTTTGTAAATGTAGCCTTAGCAGACCCACTTACATATTAACCTTTCATTTGCTCTCCTCCAATTGGGCTTTCTTTTTAAACGGAGCCGCTATTTTTTCTGCTCTCCATTAGTATGTAAATTCTTCATATATACAGTATATTTAATCTCCACAGTATATTGTGAAGATCAAAATTTGAGTGGGTAATTTAAACCGCATTTTCAGTTGTTAATTGAATTGACTTCAGGGGCAAAATGCTGTTTACTAGAAAAGATCTCTGCTCAGATCAGTATACTGGGGGCAAAACGGGGCCAAGTGGGGCCAAATCCAAAGAATTTCCCACGCTATTAAACGCCACAGGAAAAAAATTCCTTGTTGTTGCGTGTTTTACTGTAAAGGAGCAGTGATAAAAAGCGGAAAATGTTTATTTATATATGTTCGGAAAACAGACAATTTTGTTTTGCGTTCATGAAATTGAGGTTAGTGCAATTATGAAATAGCGAATTATTTTTAGGAAAAGAACAGCGAAATAAGCTTAAAAAATTGCATTTTGTAAATCTGTCGTGTTCTGTGCCATAAAATTGAGTAATTAACTTATAAGGCTGTTATTTGCTATACTCCACCTTAAATGTATATTGTATATTTGAAGGTTTACAGGCAAGGAATTCCCTTGAGGACCCTATTTGTATAAAGTAACCAAATTGATTGTACAGTCAGTATGAAGTTGAAGACAGTTAACATAACACACATTTGAGTGAGTTGTCGCGGGACATTGCGAAACAGTTTTCTCAAAATTGCCGTTGATATTATTGCCACTCCGCTCTGCTTTTGTTATTGTAGAACTGAGCCTAGAAGTAACCAAGTATACTGAAAACTCTTCCCGTTTAAATAGAAAAGTTGGCTCTTTCATTTATAACAGAAAATGTGCCCCTAATTGTTATGGAGATCAAAGAACTGGTCAAAATTTCCCATTCTGATCCTGACTTAATCTTCAAAAAAATAAAGTACGCAGACATTCGACGCCAAAATACATAACTAAAGCTCTTTTTCAGGCGGCAACTTGTTATAAAAAATTTTTAAATCAATCTTAGACATATTCATTCGCGACTTTTGTTGTGGACGTTCATTTTTCCCGGCAATGAGTTGGCATGTTTGGGTGGTTCTGAAACCATGACACACACAAACAGCTGCGTAATAAAAAAAGTTTTAAATGCTCGTTTTTTAGGTAAATGCCTTTAAGGTCTATCTTATTTTTAAGGTTTTAATGAGCACATAGAATAAAATCATTATTCATGGTCAATCGACTGGAGCCAGTGAAAATCGTAAAGTCTTAATTAGCATTTCAAGGAAGATCTGAACCTCTTAGTAATTGAAATCTCAAAATAATTACAAAGAAATGTGGCGGAAGCACATTACTCTAAGTGTAGAAAAACCAGTACGTTCACAATTGCACCTGACAATTCTATTTAAATTTATTAGTCACTGACCGGCATGTCCGCACGTGAGCTTACGAAATATATTACTCATATGATCTCCCAATAGGCCAAACCAAGCGAAAATGTGGTTGCCTTAGTCCAACGTAACTCAAGCAATGCATAAAC